CGCGTCACCTTAGATAGATGCAGTGAAGAGATAAATAAGTATTAGTCTGATGTAAGCAACGTGCTCCTCTCTTGAGGAAAACGTTGACGACCGATTATCTTTCAGTGTCTTGTGTTTGATATCTGATTTGAAATACGGCGTACTTTTATGTGGCGAGCACAATCAGCTACTGAGTTGACACGGAAAAAGACTAGATTTAACGAGAGCTATGTTTGTGGGCAATCGCTGAGGACTGCCACATCTTGCACCATTTGCCCGATCAGTTTAGCGAAATTGCAAGCCACCGGATTTTGGCAAACATCTGCCAGATGAACAAACACAGTCTGTCTACTGATATATCCATGCAAATTCGAAAGCATAGGCTGAATCAGGGCGAGTGTCATTATTTAGATCAACAGATGCAACATTGAAAATAAAATTGGAAGTGTCGAGCAAGTTTGCTGTTGGGGCTGAGAACATCAATGTGCTATGAAAACGCGGTATAACGACGGTCATCAAGTTCGGTTTGTGGGTTGCCGAGAATGTGGACGCGAGTATCGATTGCGAGTAGATAAACGTATTTCATGATCTCAGATGCCATTAGGGTTGCCCGGAAATCTCGAGCAAGAACAGAAACATGATTTGGCTTAGGCTTTTGCTTTCCCACCAAAAGAGAAAAGAAACCATTCCAGTCAGGACGAAACAAATTCTACAGATAGTGCTACTCAGTAAGATTTTATTCTTCCGTGGGTCACATTTGATCAATTCGGTGTTGCTTAGTCAGTTTTGAGATTCACATCTTTAACGTGGGTAGTTTTCACGTGTTTCCTGGGCATATCCTGTCGAGCGTACATTTTCCCACATTGTTCGCAAATATGTGGAACTTGCGTTTCGTGCTTCGTTCTCATATGGCGATCCAAGTTTGATTTTTGGGAGAATAGCACCCCACATTCATGGCACTGTAGTTGGTTTTCATTCCGGTGAACGTCCCGCTGGTGCCGACACAGTTTGCTCCAATTTGTAAAGCATTTGCCGCATTTGGAACATGGGATCCCTCTGTCATGTGATTCATGCACATGTTTGCTGGATGGTTTGCCTCAACTTTGATAACAAAAATTAATAAATCTCTTCATATGTTGCTTTATATATCGCCCCGTCTTGAAAGATAGTACGAACACACTCCAGTACATGGAGTCAGAATCATTGCGTTGAGCAATAATGTTATTTGTGTTTACTCAAATGAATACTCGACTGAGATCAAGAGAAGTACTGGACCCGAATGCCTGTAAGAGTTAGAAATACACCAACTTTTGGACAAGCTGGGCTTTTTCTTTATGAAAAATGACAGTTTCATGGTAGTGGTGAACACAACGAGCGTCGAGAATCTATGACCAAGCTTTGATTTCTGAAGTATGAATTAGTAGACCCGACTTTAGGTATCCGCACTACCACGTACGACGGTATGCACTTGCTGCAGCTGAATAATTCAACGGGCTGCACCTGAAATCCTGTTAGTGACTGGGGGAAGCGAAGAATTACAAAATATCAGATCGAGTCGATCCAGCTGAGTAAATCATCGGTGACGCATGAGCAGTGTACAAAGAGTGTTAAGAGGGATTAATCCTCAAAAGATTAGATGGCAACACCAACGCGGATCCAAAGGAACTGTTGGATAATACCGTGAATGCAGGACTAATTCTAATAAACCACCCATCGCATTCGAAACATTGATTTCTGCTTTCCTGTGATTCTTGCACCAGTTTGCTGGATGATTTCCCACGCTTGTGATATCCCAAAAATATGTTGATTTAGATATCGCTCACGCTTGAAAGATATTTCGCACACACCGCAATAAATGCCGGAAGATCTAAAGTGCACTATTGTTTGGTGCCTCACCGCATCGCGTAAAAAGGAGAATGATTTGCTGCATGTTAAACAATTGTAGGGATCTTCCTGGTCTGACCGTCAAGTGATAATACTTACATAANAATAGTAGGTGAAATAATTAGGGAGATGTGGTTGTAACCTGGAAAACAAATACAGATTTTGAGAAAAGGCACAGTCCTCAGCGGACAAATTACTAATGGTTTGTATAGGATATGCTTGTTGCCGTATCGCTCCTCACATAGAGCTCATTAGGATGATGGGAAGGAGTGAGACCCGACTACTGTACGCCTATCGACCGAGTCAACAGGTGGACCCTGTGGTCGTTTGGGCCATTGATTACAATCGCCAAATCAGATGAGCACCATGCACTTCCTGATCATCTCTGACACCCAAGAGTAGGCTGAAGACAATGCAGAACCAGAACTGACCAGCTCATCTCATATTGTCCACTAACCTTGATGGATGAGTGACACCCAGTACCTGGAGACAGAACCAGTGCTTCGAGCATGCACTTGCTGCAGCTGAATAATTCAACGGGCTGCACCTGAAATCCAGTTAGTGACTGGGGGAAGCGAAGAATTACAAAATATCAGATCGCGTCGATCCAGCTGAGTAAATCATCGGTGACGCATCAGCAGTGTGCAAAGAGTGTTAAGAGGGCTTAATCCTCAAAAGATTAGATGACATCATCCACGCATATCAGAAGACTGCAGAACCAGAGGAACTGTTGGATAACTCAATGAATGCAGTACTAATTCTAATACCTTTCCAAAGGCCATAAATATTACTATCTATTCATATATCAATCTGGTTTCGAAGGGCACCCAAATACAGTCGACATCACTTTGTCAGAATTTTGTTCTGAACTCGCTCCATCTCCTAAGAGAGTGGCGCAAACGATTATGTTTCTTGAGTTGGTACATATTCTCTCTGCATGTGATTAGTGACTTCAGAGCTCAAACGAGCTACGTTGCCAAGTCGATCCGGGATGTATTTGGTTTTACGTTACATTCGAATTTGCTAGATTCGTTCTTCGGGAGCATACGGATGGCATCAGGCCCACGTGATCCTACCCTTCACTTAAGCAGAATTTCCGTCAAAATGTCCACAAACTATTCATGCCATCATCGGCAAACTCCGTTATCTCCGCAACCGGTATGTACTTGAATGGCCTGATGGTATCTAGGAGCAGATAATGCTCGCAGATAACCGCCTACCAGGCACCAGGTGATCAATAGGTTATCCAGAACGGAGTTCACGGTAATAGGAAGGCATTAGTGAGACAGTGGACCACAACAGCTTTAAAAGTTTGGTTCGTTCATGGCGACTGTTTCAAACCAAGAAAAATATGTCCATGTGTTTCGTGGTCCAGGTTTATCGCACTTCAACACAACACTACGCGGTACTTCACATGGCCATCACATGTTATGTCCTCTTGCACTCGTGCATATTTCGAGGCTGAGGTAATGCAAACGTTTGGTCCGGTCACGTGAACTGCGTATTCGGCAGCATTTAAAGCCTGAAATTTAGAATGCAGAAAGTGTTCTCCTAATTCCAATCATGCAAACATGCCGGTTTTACTTACTACGTGAATTGCAAAGCCGGTCTATCCGACGCCACTGTTTCCACAGGGCCACAATTTTGGTGACTTCAAAAATAACATGCAACGGATAAAAGCTTGCGTTTGCATGGATCCCGTCAATTAAGGAGTGATGTCTGCAATGATATATACTACAGAAGAGTTTCATCCCCCCAAACACATGTTGGGGATTGGTCAGTACTTCTCATAAAGCAAACTACTCGGAAGGTTGCTGAAAACTCTCGGACAGCCCAAGACCGATTTCGCACTGCTTGCAGCTCATCAGGTAGAATTTTTTGTCAGCCTTATGTTCTACTTGACCCAGTGCTTTTATAACACAAGCTGAAACGAATGGTCATCACCATGCCACTTCCTCTTTTGCCATTCGAATAGATTCTACATGACGCAATAACTACTGCATGCTTAGGTGTATTCATGACCATGATAAAGTGACTGCGATTTCCATCCACCCATTCCTAAAGTTCACTGTCTTATATGGGAGCGCTAAGAAGTGCGAAAACACATCGGACCCTTTGCGAATCAGGTTGTACTTTTTCCTGTTTTTCCCAATTATATTGGTTCCCTGAATAGCCCGTTTTCAAGGCTATTGGGCGTCGTTCTGATTGGTGGCATCCTGAACTGTGTGTGGTGTGGTGCGCTATTGGATCAATCCAGGTATTGGAATTCAAAACCGGGTGACACCGGTAACCGGATAGAGACTTTGCCAGGGATGACGGGCCAATTATAAATGCACCATGCATTGTGAATTTCACTGCTCGAGACGGGAACTTTTCAGCAAATTATTCCAATTCATTTACCTAAGGACAATCGTTTATTAGGAAGCGGGAGTTCAAATATCTTAAGTCTCTTGTTTTACTTGCGGGCATTCAATATAACTTGGCCGATTCATTTACCTAAGGACAATCGTTTATTAGGAAGCGGGAGTTCAGATATCTTAAGTCTCTTGTTTTACTTGCGGGCATTCAGATATAACTTGTGGGGGTTTTCTCCAGTATGTAAAATCAAACCACTCTGAAACGCTGTGTCAGTTACTCCGCGTTTCCGTTGAAATTTGAAATTTATCACACTTCAAATGCCCCGCGATTGCCAGCACGCACCACACCGGAAATTGTGACATTTCCTCTCCTCCTAGTTACCAACAGTGTTGAAATATGTGTGAACTGCTTGGCAAGTTTTCAGCATGGATAAAGTGCACTTAAAACATGAGGGCTCAACTGAAAATTACTGGGATCCCTTCCAATGTTATACTCACTGTTGCGTTTAAAGACAGTCTAGTGAAGCTGACATCGATTTTTTCATCTCTTTAAATTTCAAGCAGCAATCAAAAACAAAGTTCCGTCAAAAAACAGAACGGAAGATCCGAACAGACGAGTAGACCAGGAAGAACCTCACAGACGTTTATTGGGCAGCAATCCATTCGTTTTGTTGTCCACTAGAACTTCCGACTTTTATTGCGGTGTGTGCGAAATATTGTTCAAGAGCAAGCGAAATCTCGAGTAACATATGAAGAGGTTCAATATTTTTGGATTTCACAGACGAGGCAGAACATTCGGCAAACGGGCGCAAGTATCACAAGAGGGAGGGAACCCATGTTCCGAATGCGGAAAACGCTTTACAACTTGGAGCAATCTGTGTCGGCACCAGCGGGGCGGTGACCCGTGATATGCTGATTCGAGAGCAGCAAGCAGGATTCCGGCCTGGTAGGTGTTGCGTTGACCAAATCTTCACACTTATTCGGATGCCAGAATAACGCCGTACGTATATGCGACCCACAATTCTAGTATTCCTGGATTTCCGAGGCGCATTTGAATCGGTTGATCGGTTTGTTCTTCTGGAGACACTCGCCCATGAAGGAGTGCCCCTGATATTTTTAAACATAATACGTTCCTTGAATTCTCAG